CCCAATTAGTCGACTCTTTTGACATGCTTGTTGTGGAGGCAGTGGGTTTATTCTCCTTTCCCCCATAATGGAGCTCCTGGACCCAAACGGAGAGAACTAATAATCTGTCTGCATGCAGTCCAGAGGTATCAACAAATCTTAAATAATCGCTGTGAAGCAGCCACAAATTCGAGGTGAAGTGTCAACTAATATGAGGTGATAAACCTGGCACATGAACACATCTGAAAGTCAGCATCAACAAATCCACAATGAATACTGCGAAGCATCAATTAATCTGAGATTATGAACCCTGAGCCATGTCCATTCATACATTCTAAGAACCCATAAGTTTCTGCCAGAAAAGATAGGACACTCTCCCCCAACTAAATTTTTGCACCTAGCCATCTTTTTCTTCAGCCTTCTAACCCCCAATGCGGCATAAGCCATCAACCAATTCACGCTAAGTAATTCTATCCTTCGCTATCATGGCCATATTGCCTTCACACAACACATCACTGGCAATACTAAAGGTGAACATCAACCATGACATTACGAATGCCAGAGTTTCAAATCTCAGATAAAACATTGGTTACATTTCAACAACACGATGGTTACATAAAATGTTATCCAACTGTACATCTGAACATATGAAGCAAGAAATATCTAACAGAGACATCAATCAAAGAATGCTGACACTCACCCCATCAACCAAATTAAAGCAATACCGTTGCACACGCCAACAAAACATACCAATGGCAAATATACACAACTCAGAGGGAATGATGACACATCGACATCGAAAAACAACAGCAAAATATAAATATATAAAGTAATAACACAATGACATGTGTTACATACTTGGCCGTTTTTCACTTTCAGAGAACGGAAGAAAATGTACTTTACAAGTTCAGGACGATGACACCCCCTCCCTCCCCTCTGTGGATGAAAGATGAGATATGAATGATGACTGCATTAATTTTTCATCATGAACACTCAACATTTACAGTAATGATAAAACAATGAGAACACATGAAGAATTTATGTCTGGTGTTTTGATATGGTGTTTTTTATACAATGAGAAGATGTGCTTAAATATGTCTGTTGTTTAGACAGGACTTTTCTTAAACAACGAGAACATGTGCTTAAAGTCTGCCATTTAGATGTGGTGTTTCCTATACTTTGAGAACATGTGCTTAAATGTCTGCCATTTAGATGTGGTGTTTCCTATACTTTGAGAACATGTGCTTAAATGTCTGCCATTTAGATGTGGTGTTTCCTATACTTTGAGAACATGTGCTTAAATGTCTGCCATTTAGATGTGGTGTTTCCTATACACTGAGAACATGTGCTTAAATGTCTGCTATTTAGATGTGGTGTTTCCTATACATTGATAACATGTGCTTAAATGTCTGCTATTTAGATGTGGTGTTTCCTATACATTGAGAACATGTGCTTAAATGTCTGCCATTTAGATGTGGTGTTTCCTATACTTTGAGAACATGTGCTTAAATGTCTGCCATTTAGATGTGGTGTTTCCTATACTTTGAGAACAGGTGCTTAAATGTCTGCCATTTAGATGTGGTGTTTTTTATATACTGAGAACATGCGAAGAGCTAAGAAACTACTGAGAACACAAAAAGGCGTCAGTTCTGTTGCTTTGTTTCTTTTCTGTAATCATCTAACATGACCAAGCCATCTGATTGATTCTTGTTAATGACTTCAGCTCTAAGTGCTACATCCTTCCGATGGAGAAGATGATAAAACACAGACCCTGCAAGAGAACGATGTCAATTTGATGCCTCTTGGTGACATAAATGCACCCACCAGTGCCTAAGAAAGAGCTGATGGTATGTGCTTATATACCGGAGTCTTAGTTTCTACAACAGACAACAAAATCATCATCCACTTGTGGCATTTATATTGCACACAGGAATCATATTCGATCCCTTCGTTTCATTCTGTCCTGCCCAATCCTTCTCAATGCATTTGTTTCTCACAACAAGGCCTGTTTAGTGACTGTCTCTCCATTTTGTCCCCTTATGCGTCAAATATATTGCCATCCTCTTCACAGCATTTAATTATGATTGGCACCTTTCCAGATGATGGTGTTATAATTGTGCTAACAGGAGGTATGGGACTCACAGCCCATAGTGATGGTGAGTGTGACTATCAAGATCCGCCCATGATAAGAAGTCTTCCACAATTATAGCATAGGATTTCAGGACCATTGTTGTCAACATTTGTGTTGTAGTCCAAGATGCTTAACTCTCATCCTTTCTGCCATCATTTGTTCCTTCATTCTCATTCCTTTCCTGATGTGCCCCCTCCACAAAACACGGTCAATAGCATTTTGTTCAGTACACCTCAATACCTGTATCATTCATGCCTGCTTGCGCATATCTTTATATCATATTAGGGGACTGCGTGGTCTCGATGTACGGTGTCCGCCTCAAGTGCTAGAGGTCCCGGATTCAGCCCCAGGGAAGGCTGGGATTTTTTTTGTTAATGTGAATTTCTAATAATTTTTCCTGGTCTCTGAGTAGTGAGATTGGACGCCCGTGTGTATTGCTGCCCACGTGAAAAATCCCTTGGCAGTTGAAAATCTAAAAAAGTAGCCTAACAACGCTGCCCGGGCAAAACTTGGAGTTAAGAATCTATCCAAAGTATTTCAGAATCCTCGCTGGTGCTACGAAGCCCATAAACTGCGCTAAGCTACTTCAAACTCCAGACTTGAAGCCGAATTAGAAGTACAATGGAGCACTTATGGGTAACTACCCGTGTGACACGATGTTCATCCGATGATCAATCCTCAAACTTATATCATAGTAGAAGTTGGCCCCTTTAACCCGTCTTTAATTCACCCTACAGAGACTTCCCCACCAAGCCTTCATATGGTCACCAGAGGGTAAAAGAAAACAGGGAAGACCAAAAGAAACTCTCCGTAGAACCATCACAAGGGAGAGCTCAACCATAGGTCTCAGTCGCACTCAAGACCTACATCAAGTGGCAAAGAACCGACAGACGTGGAAAGCTATGACCTCTGCCCTATGCGCCATCTTTGGCACAAGAGGAATAACTAACTAACTAATTCACCCTAGAGAATGTTCTTTAGGAGGATGTTCTTTAGGAAGAACACATAAAGGCATTAGTGTTTTTGTTGTTGCTGTAGCAACAGTATCTGCAGCATTTACAATCCACATTACAGCGTTTAATTTTTTTTGGGGTCTGTTTGTTGGGTGGCTTTAGATGTTTGAAATCTACAAACAAATATGAATGTTGTCTGGACACACACACACAACTGCCAGACAATTATTTACCCCACAGCAAAAAATACGGATGCAGACATTTCAACATTCAACACTGGTGGTTTATCAGGCAGTGTCGATGGTCACATGATATCCCCCCCTCTCCCGCTTTTCAAACATGGTTCTGGTGGGATTTGAATAATTTTGATTTCCTCCAAAAATGGGCATTTAATTGTTGGGACTGTTAAGAAATTAATAATTTTTTGGGATTAAAAAAAGGAACATTTTTCAATACGAGGCAGATACAAATAAACGGTAGTAGAGGCAGATATTGAGAGAGTAGTCAGATCTGTCAAACGGATGCACATGCTACACTCAAGTTCTGGAACAGGACTACAGTCTAGAAGTGGATGAACAACCAGAACTTTCCGCCAGAGTTTACAGCTGGTGAACGTGATCAAAGAAAAAGGACAACTTTTAATCCGGGTCACTAGCATGATCGTGAAGCCTACAAATTATTCAGCCAGGTGCTTCTGCCAATTACTGCCTTTACTATAACACTTTTGCCCTGTAGGCAGGGGGGTCTTTGAGTCTGAGGATATACGGCCACATGGCTAGTGCTGTCGCCACGACTGTTCAGGTGAGGATTTACGGCCGCATGGCTAGTGCTGTCGCCACGACTGTTCAGGTGAGGATTTACAGCCGCATGGCTAGTGCTGTCGCCACGACTGTTCAGGTGAGGATTTACGGCCGCATGGCTAGTGCTGTCGCCACGACTGTGTAGGTGAGGATTTACGGCCACATGGCTAGTGCTGTCACTATGACTGTTCAGGTGAGGATTTACAGCCGCATGGCTAGTGCTGTCGCCACGACTGTTCAGGTGAGGATTTACGGCCGCATGGCTAGTGCTGTCGCCACGACTGTGTAGGTGAGGATTTACGGCCGCATGGCTAGTGCTGTCACTATGACTGTTCAGGTGAGGATTTACGGCCGCATGGCTAGTGCTGTCGCCACGACTGTGTAGGTGAGGATTTACGGCCGCATGGCTAGTGCTGTCGCCATGACTGTTCAGGTGCTTCTGCCACAAGTAACTAGCAAAATTTCTGTATCGACAAGGGTGCTTTGTTCTGCAGAAGCATGTACATTTCTACATATAACTTGTGAGTGACACTTCTGTTTTTGTTACATCTGTGTGTAAGAGTGCTACCTTCTGCTGAAGCAAGCCTTGCAACAGAATACGTTTCTGTATATAACTAGTAACATCTCTGTCTGGGTTTGTTACATCTGTGTGTAATCATGCTATATTCTGCTCAAGCAAGCACTTCTTGCAACAGAATACATTTCTGTATGTAACTAGTAACATCTTTGGGTTTATTACATCTGTGTGTGTAAGCGTGCTACATCCTGCTCAAGCAAGCACTTCTTGCAACAGAATACATTTCTCTATGTAACTAGTAACATCTCTGTCAGGGCTTGTTACATCTGTGTGTAATCGTGCTATATTCTGCTCAAGCAAGCACTTCTTGCAACAGAATACATTATTGTATGAGCAAACTATACTTGTGTGTCAGCGTGCAACATTTCTACATGCACATGCTACAATCATGGCCTGAATTTTCACAGAGTAGCTTTAACAGTCACATTTTGGACTCCAATTACAGAACGCGTAACTCTCAAGGCTAACTCCTTTTCAATATGAACAGACACAACAAAATTGTTATGTCCGCACGATAAAGTGCCCTAAAGCGAGTAACAGAATCAGATGTGACAATCCTGCTAGGAACTTGGCAGAAGCTCAAACTCGTCACTGACTGTGACCATGGGAACGTGAAGATCATCAATGACAGGGGTGTTCTTGTGGTCGCACAGCCCACATTCCTTCATCTTCCACTCCCAGTCCAGCTTCTGGACGGCGTACAGTGATTCTGCTTCATGGTGATGGCGCAATAGGAGCAGTTGCTGCCAGGAGAAAAATAATTAATATTACTGTAAAGTACAACAAATGCTATGTCAACTCAAGTGTGGGTTCTGGAGTCTTGGAGAGAGAGAGAGAGGGGGGGGGGGGGGGATTTCATATAATTTTTTAGGGTTTTTTGCTTTTTAAGTTAAACAAACAACCCTCCACATTGAAAATAGAGGAAAATACTCCCTCCCTTGGGTCCTTCCAAATGGGACAAAGAAGAAATAATCCTTCAGTAAATGTGTGTGTGTGTGTGTGTATACATATATAAATTTATATAGTAGGTCTGTACTAAATATTTCCTTCGGATTCGCTTCGGGGCCGAATACATATAGTGAATACCTTACACCCGCTTCTTCATACACAGCTTTAATGCTGACAACATGGCCTAACGAAGCTTAGGGAAAGGGGGGGGGGGAGGGGGGGTTGCAGGGCAAGAGAGACAAAGAATGAGGTATAGAAAAAGCAGGAAAACAGAGTAGCAGACAAGTAGAGAGAGAGAGAGAGAGAGAGAGAGAGAGAGAGAGAGAGAGAGAGAGAGAGAGAGAGAGAGAGAGAGAGAGAGAGAGAGAGAGAGAGAAAGAGAGAGAGAGAAAGAGAGAGAAAGAGAGAGAGAGAAACAGAAAAAGAGAAAGAATAGGAAAACAAAGAGTAGGACACAAGTAGGTAGAGAGAGAGAGAAAGAGAGAGAGAGAGAGAGAGAGAGAGAGAGAGAGAGAGAGAGAGAGAGAGTAGGAAAACAGTAAGAGACAAGTAGAGAGAGAAAGAGTATGAAAACAGAGTAGGAGACAAGTAGAGACAGAAAGAGTATGAAAACAGAGTAGGAGACAAGTAGAGAGAGAGAAAGAGTATGAAAACAGAGTAGGAGACAAGTAGAGAGAGAGAAAGAGTATGAAAACAGAGTAGGAGACAAGTAGAGTAGGAAAACGGATTAGGAGAAAAGTAGAGAGATAGTCTAAAAGAGTAGGCAAACAGAGTAGGAGACAAGTAGAGAGAAAGAAAGTGTAGGAGACAGTGGAAAGGTGAGGCAGAGAGAGAGATAGTGAATGAGCAGGAGAGAAGCAGGATAAGACAGCATAACAGAAAAATAGGGAGAAAGGGAAGGGAAGAGAGAGAGAGAGAGAGAGACAGAAAGAGAGCCAGAGAGAGAGAGAGAGAGAGAGAGAGAGAGAAAGAGCAAGCAACAGAGAGAGAGAGACAGACAGACAGAGAGTGCTGGAGGAAAGATGCTCAAGGAAATCATTACCTTGATTTTTTCATATTTGTCATCGACATCTTGCAGCCAGGAGAGGAACTGCCGGCCATTATACCGAGACCGCACATTTTTATCCCGATCTTCCACCTGAAACAGCCAGAGAAGTTTTTAGATAGGCTAGCCAGAGTTAATCAGATCCTGTCTCAACAGTTACCACTACATGTTCATGAAAATCAGATCCTGTCTCAACAGTTACCACTACATATTCATCATAATCAGATCCTGTCTCAAGAGTTACTACATGTTTATGACAATCAGATCCTGTCTCAAGAGTTACTACATGTTTATGACAATCAGATTCTGTCTCAAGAGTTACTACATGTTTATGACAATCAGATCATGTCTTGAGAGTTACTACACAATGTCTCTAGTTCTACTGTACATTTAACAGTGTAACTAGATACATTTTAACCTGTGTATATAAAAGCTATCTCTCCCACTGACCTAGGCACGCACACACACAAAAACAATAACACAGCCAAGCTTAAGATATTTCCAGTTAAAAAAAAAACTAATTTACTGACAGAAATTAAAAATGAATTTATCACCGCAAACACAAATACTAAACAGAGTAAGGGGAGCAAGCAATAAAATAGAATGCAGTAGAGAATCAACTGGCTTACATCCCTTGGGGACAGTAAATTAATCATCTTCACAGGGTGTGCAGGGTCAGTAGATGTGACAGGGCTGCCAGCTAGATGTGGTCAAGGCCCTTTGGGGGCAAGTGAGCAATGCAGAAGCAGGAACAGACAATGTATCAAAGAAACTATTCGCATTTCAGTTGAATTTATTCAGTTTTGTGCTTTTTTGTTTTATGTTGTTGTAACTCTGTGGTAACGCACCTGATGAAATACAGCGAAATATGCCTGGCAATAAATTGTGCAATGAATTGTTTCTTTCCGCATTATTTAATAATCCTGTTCTGAAAGTCCAATATGTGTGGCGTTGGTAGTCATGTCTATCCACAACCTTCTGTCTCGTGTACTTTCAATCAACTCTGACACAGATGATCTCCCATGCCTTGTGGTGTTGGTGGTCATGACTATCCACAACCTTCTGTCTCGTGTACTTTCAATCAACTCTGACACAGATGATCTCCCATGCCGTGTGGTGTTGGTAGTCATGTCTATCCACAACCTTCTGTCTCGTGTACTTTCAATCAACTCTGACACAGATGATCTCCCATGCCGTGTGGTGTTGGTAGTCATGACTATCCACAACCTTCTGTATCGTGTACTTTCAATCAACTCTGACACAGATGACCTCCCATGTCATGATGTCAAACTGTTCAGCATCTTCATTTTTTGGTCTCCCTCTGCCTCTCCTCCAACTTTCCTACCACCACGATGTATTCCAGTTATTTCCCTTCTCATCACATGACCAAAGAATGTAGATTGCCTCTTTCTGATGTGGGCAATCAGTTCTCTTCGTGAGCAAGTTTCTTTCAAGACATCTTCATTACTCTTTTTAATCTGTGCAGGGTATTTTCATCATTCGTCTATAAAACCCCATCTCAGCAGCTTCCAAATAAGTTTTTACTAATTTACCAACTGTCCATGATTCACACCATTATATCAATATAGGATTTATATGGCTTTTCAGAATTCTCTTTCTTCTCTCAAAGAGACTAATTATAGTGCAACACCTCCTGACCCTGCACACCCTGTCAGGCAATAACCCCTGTGACAAATAGGAAAAAATGTCTATAAATATAAATTTCTATAAATACTTTTAGGGAACACCGTCTAAATGCTATTTTTAGTAAATGTAGTCATTCCCTGTCCGGCTGAGGCTGAATGTTTGCACAGACACGGATGCAATTAATTCCATTAGCTACAAATCTCTCTATATGGAGTCAGGAAAGTGGATCTTACAGGAAAACCAGAAATGTGAGTTTTGCAGCTTCTCTGGGCCAAACGGTTGAGTGGAAGGGTTCATTTTTGTGCTTAATTATATGTAGATGTAACTCTGCAATATGTATGTGACAAGACAAACGGAAATATGCATGCAGACAATAAATTATGTAATGTATTGTTTGTGACCACATTATTTTAATTCTTTGTTAAGACAACAAACAGTAGCCAGTTTATTTCTTTATTATCTTCCATTAAAATTCCACATCTTGAAAGATCTGAACATCAAAGAAGACTGGTAAACAGCATCATGTCTCGGAAAAAATAATAGCAGAAGGCATGGTACCAGGAAGGAGTGGCAGGGGCCGATCAACACAAAGATGGGCACAGGATATAAGAGACTCTTTGACTATGAAAGTACATGAAGCAGGAGAGCAGGCAAACTGTGATGAGAGCAACATTCTGCAAAGAACCTGTTATGTGATGATGATGATTAAAATTTCAACAACCAATTTTATGAAGCTGGGTCTATCCCACCATCAAGGCCAATTCAAAACTGTGATGATCTGTATACATGGCTCTGTTTTGAGAGGCAGAAGATGTGTTTGGGGGTTCGTTGCTAAAGTGAACGGAGGACGCTCAGTGCAACAAAGTCTAGTGTTCAATACTACATCTAGTTTGAGAATGGAGGTGGAGACAGTCTCTCACAGCAGCTTTCCGCTGTCTTGAGAACCAGATATGCACATGTCATGACTGTAACAAACTCAAGCAAAATAAGAATGGTGGTGACAGACATGCTCTCTGCAGAGTGGTAAGCAACACTTCAGAGGTCCCGGGTAATTAGCATTTTGTTGTTGTTTTTGGATATTCTCTCGAGGGCATACAGGAGTGTTAGGGAATAACAGGGCAGACAGACTGGCTGGTTCAACACCCAACACCAATGGGCAGTAAACTGATACATGACTAGCTAGATGTGGTCAAGGCCCTTTGGGAGCAAGGGAGCAATGCAGAGGCAGGAACAGAGCATTTTGGTTTGAAGAATGGTAGTGTTAGCGCAGTCAACAGGAGACGCGCTTTCAAATCCAGCTGCGACTCGCTGCAGCCCATGGCAGGTGTTCTAAACTGGACGGTTCTCTGGGTTTACCCAGCCTCTAGGAAATGGGTACCCGAGGTGCCATTCTGGGGTAAATGGAGGATTGCCGTTGTAGCTACGGAGTTACGTAGGGGTAAATAGAGGATTGCCGTTGTAGCTACGGAGTTACGTGCGGACAATTTCTTATCAGCTGTTCGTACTGGTGGCAGAGCACTTATGGTTTGTAACGGTGTGCAGTGACGCTGCTTCACATATCCCGACTTTACCTTTTTACAGCTAGGAGTGACCGGGAGATCATGCCAACATTACACTCAGGGGAAAGTACTGGAAGTAAAGGTCCCTTTTCCACATCAGCGAACTGGGCATATAGGGCTGGACCTGTGTTTGTATAGACCAAACGGCACTTGGTGGGTGATGTGGTCAGCATCATGTCAGCTGCCTTTACTTCCCAGGACTGCACCCATCCAAGGCTGGGTCGAGCTGGGAGTCGGGGTCATTTAAAAAAAAAAAGCCAGGTTCCACCAGGTCGTGAACCCACGATACGCAGGCTGGTGTCTAGCCGCTACACCACAGTGACTCCCACTCAGAGAAAAGACCAGATGGAAATACAGCCAAACCGCTACTGGCACCATCGGAATTAGAAAGCTTCAATAGCTGCTGAAAAAAGGACAGAGTGCTTATGGGAATGTTCTGAGTTTTCAGATGTCAGTTCTCGGCTCAACACAAAGGGGGGAAGAGTGTGAAACACCGGACAGTCTCACTCACCTGTTCCAACTCCTGCTGGTTGTAAATCTCCTCCTCTCTGAGTATTGTACACACACTGAACGGCAGCGTCTGGTTGGCCATGGCTCTGGCAGCGCGGGCGTGCTCCCTCAAGATCTCTTGCTCGATGGACAACATTAACTTTTCCTGTTGATGGAAGCACAGCATTACTGAACACCTCCAAGACGTGACAGACATTAATACAAGGAGTCCTCAGAGAATTTATCTACACTTTTGTTTTGCAGAAATGTGTGCACTTTGGTGCCTGTCCCATCTTTTTGATTTCCGCTCTTAATGAATGAATTAATAGTATATTGTCTAAGAAGCTGAGGGTCAGCAGTAACAGTTAGAGATTCATTAAAGACATGGACCAAAGGCCTAATTTCATGTAAAAAATTCCATGTGTGGGTTCTGGGGGGGGGGGGGGGCATTGGTGGGAGGGGGGAGAGAACAAGAATAGACCCACTGTCTCCCCACAAGCATGTCGTAGGAATCATCTCATTGGGGGCTTCCTGTGAAGTCAGAGTGCATCAGCGGCAAGAAACAACCAACTGCACACAAGTAAGCCAGTTAAACAAAATTCAAGCCCTGGCACCAAGCTAAAGTACAAATGAATGAACAACCGGGACTTTCCGCTGCAGCTTACAGCAAGTGAACAAAGAAGAAGAAACTGATCTCAAACATAATGCTTGATCATTAAAAAGGATGGTTTAAAAAAGATAAGACATAAAAGAGAGATCTCTGAACAAGTGGCATCAACAGTCTTAAAACTCTCCACAAAACGGCTAGTCGCCTGCCTCGAGATGCCCACAAAGCATGAACGCTGCAGATCCAATGATGACCCACGTGGATAGGAGTAAACACTGCACTTAAAACTCGAACGTGTCCACACACAAAAATTCATGAACTGAATGTGGCCACTTGGCAATGGATAACCAACCAACCACCCCCCCCCCCCCCCCCCCCCCCCCCATAAAAAAAAATAAAATGTAAAGAGTGTGTTCTTACTCGTTCAATGACATGCTGTAGTCTCAGGCGATATCTTTCTTTCTCTTGCTGAATAAAAAACTCTCTCATAGGCTCAGTGACCAGGTTTGGAGGTGGCAGCTGGAGAGGAGAGCATGAAAAGAAATGTTGAGCACAATGACACACACCACTGACAGCATCAGTTAGAATTACAGCCTGCCGTTTTGGAGAGGGGGGAGGTGGCTTCAAGTAATTTTGAAATTGAGTAAATCTGTACTATCTTCTTCTTCGCTTTCACCGGCTGTAAACTCCAATGGAAAGTTCTGGTTGCTCGTCTTCTTCTGGACTGCAGTCCTTTTTCAGAATCTGAGTGTTGCGTATGCATGTTTTACAGATCTGACTCATTTGTGTGCAGACTGCTGGTTCCTTGCTTCTCAGGCAGATGCACTCCGGCTTCGAAGGAAGCTCCCAATTAGTCAACTCTTATGATATGTTTTTGGGTAGGCAGTGGGTCTATTTTTTTTTTTTTTTCTATAATAAAGCCCCGGAACCCACACAGGGAAATCTGTACTATAATAATAATCAGGATAGACAGTACTGGTACAGACAGGGAAGGGAAGGGTCACAGACAAACAGCATTGGTACAGACAAGGAAGGGAAGGGTCACAGATAGACAGTACTGGTACAGATGGGGAAGGGAAGGTTCACAGACAGACACTACTGGTACAAACAAGGAAAAGGTCCACAGATAGAGATTACTGGTACAGACAGGAAAGTTCACAGATAGACAGTACTGGTACAGACAGGGAAGGAAAAGTTCACAGACAGACAGTACTGGTACAGACAAGGAAGAGAAGGTTCACAGAAAGACAGCGTTGGTACAGACAAGGTAGGGAAGGTTCACAGATAGACAGTACTGGTACAGACAAGGAAGGGAAGGTTCACAGATAGACAATACTGGTACAGACAGGGAAGGGAAGGTTCACAGATAGACAGTATTGGTACAGACAGGGAAGGTTCACAGACAGACAGCATAGTACAGACAAGGAAGGGAAGGTTCACAGATAGTACTGGTAGAGACAAGGAATGGAAAATTCACAGATATACAGTACAGGTATAGACGAGGCAGGGAAGGTTCACAGATAGACAGGACTGGTACAGACAAGGAAGGGAAGGTTCACAGAGAGACAGCACTGGTACAGACAAGGAATGTACTTCATAGACAGAAAGTACTGGTACAGACAAGGAAGGTATTTCAGTTACAAAGCACTGGTACAGACATGGAAGGCACTTTCTAGACACATACCATCGGTACAGACAAAGTGCTTGTGGCGTTGCCTTGCAGAACATAAGTACAGTTGACCATTAAAAAGTCCTTAAATCCAGTTGGAGCCTTGGGCGCCACATTGCACAAGGAACGATGTCTAGACGCAATCTGGTGAACAAGTCAATGGCCACACATAAGTGCAAGGAACAAATCACTTCTATTCAGCCTGTTACTTCCATACAACACGTTTAATTGTTGATCAAACATCTAGAGTTCCAATTTGCATCAAGGCAAATCTATCTTTAAAAGTGACCCCGACTCCCAAGCTGGCTCTGCCAAAAGATGGGTAGGCCTGTATGTAGGATGCATGAAATACCTGAGCAGTCATTTATTTTATGCACCCTTTCCCCTCAGTTAAACTTTAGCACCGCCATACAATTGTGGACTACCAAAAAATAAACTGTAAAATTTACTTCAGTTTTAAACTTTACTGAAACATTTTAAGTAAAATGAATACACAAAAGATTAAACAAATGTTCACACAGAAAATGTTTAAAATATTGTAAAGAAAAAAATATATTGTAAATACACAGAATACTGCGGTTTAACAACTCACTGGAAATCTTTAACTTAGTCACTCTTTTTACATTAGTTATATTTTGTCTGCCTAAAATGTCGTTCTGGTATGGAGAACGGAAGGGAAAAGAAAACACTGCGAAGAACCATCATCAGGGAAGGCTCAACCATGGACCTAATGAACATCCAAGACCTCAAACAGGTGGCAACGAACCGCCAGAAATGAAGAGCTATGTATGACCTCTGCCCTTTGTGACACCTTAGGCTCAAGAGGAAAGATACACACACAAATGTTGCTGCCCTGTGCAGCTGCACTTGTTAAACATGCCTAAATATGGGCGTTACCTAGTAAGGTCATGGAAGGGGGAAAATAGCCGACATGGTGTTAACCACACTGCCCATCCAGGGCTAACTGGCCTGCAAAAAAAAAAGGTCTAACATTAAATGCTTTAAGAGCTACTGGCAAGAAAAAGAAAATTATTCAAAAAGATGACGTTAAATCAGCAACACTAAAAAAATAAGAAGAACTTCAGGTCAAAAGAGGTAACACCAAACGTGAACACTATACAGGCAGCCAAAGAAGAATAGAAAACCAACACAGAAGTGGTGTTATCAGTCGCCAGATGATGAGGGACATACTGAAGATGGTATTCAAGTGTTCAGGGACTTGTCTGATGTGCAATGAGGAAAATCTTTCGATTCACTAATTTTCCATGCGTAATTAAAAAACCATAAATTTCACCGTATGGGTTCTTGGGTCCCACTGTGGAAAGGAACAGACCCACTGCCTAACCAAACGCATGACGGCTAAGTGGGAACTTCCTTCAAAGTGGGACTGCTTCTGCCTGAGAGGCAAGGAACCAACAGTTTGCATACAAGTGAGTCAGATCTGTTAAATGGATGTGCAGGCAACACTCAGGTTCTGCAACAGGACTAGAGTCCAGAAGTGAACGAACAACCAGAACTTTCCGCCGGCGCTTAAAGCTGGCGAAGGTGAAGAAGAAGAAAAACACAAACTGCAGGTTGTCCCATAAGTCTGTATACACAGGAAGACACATTTTCATGCATGTCCTATAGTGCTGAAGAATACATATAAGCACAGCTGGAGTTATGCTTGTAATGGTGCTGGTGATTTGTTAATTTTTTCTACGAATGGAAGCTCATGAGGGAGCTGCTGTGGCGTTGGCGGCTAGACGCCCGCCTGCGGATCAGAAGGTTGTGGGTTCGCGTCCCGACAGAGCCTGACTTTTTGACCTTGACTCTCAGGTCGACCCAGCCTTGTGTGGACACCAGGTGCAGTCCTGGGAAGTAAAGGAACCGGCATGATGCTGACCACATCACCCACCAAGTGCCAACTGGTCTATAAAATATAAGTCTAGCCCTATATTCCCAATACGCCTGAGGTCTTGGAAAAGGGTCATTTACTTTACTATACAAACTTATGACATCCTGTATTATTTAACTCTTTCGTTGCTACGTACTCTGCAGCCATCATTTCCACTAATTTAAGCAAGTTCCTCGCTGACCATCTCCCCTGTGCTGAATACTTATCAATCGTCAATACGCAAAAGATACATCGGCAGGAAGTTCTATAGTCTGAATGAAATCCTAGGCTCACGGTGTCGCACCATGCACTCAACTCGGTAGCTGGGGGATGAAGCTAAATCCTTGTAGTCTACAAATGGAGCAAAAATGCAATGGCCACCGTCTAGCAAAAGCAAAAACGTTGCCATGGCTCAAAACAATGGCCGTGCCTAGCGTCCATTTTGACAGGAAGGTACATTCAGCCCCTTCAACTTCTTTACAGGGGGAAAGTCCAAGACCATTTTTATTTTCTGCTCTATGCCAAGTATTTTAGACCTGGCCTCTAAGTGCAACTGAGGCTTCTACCGCCCCCTGATACATTCCACTGCCCTACAAAGACGTAGCTACCTCCCCTCACACGCAGTCGTCTGTGTACACATAGGAAGGAAGTACTGAAGGGGGGAGCACCAAAAGTGTGAATATCGAAACTGGGATGTTTTTGTATTTCTACATTTCTTGGCGGTGGCTTTTCCCTAGAAAAGAAAAGCCACTGGCAAGGAAGGTAGAAATACAATAACATCATAGCCTCCATACTCCCAAACGGTCAGGCAAGTAGCACAACATGAAAATAATCACACAAGTAAGCGGTGACAACAGAAGAAAAGAGACAGTGGTTAAACCATTGAAAATAAGGAATACATGACACCCCCCACAACATAGGACAGGCCGTGCGCCCCATAACAGCATGAATGGAAAGGGAAAGAACTCTCAGCTGTGCTGCATTATCTGTGCCTTCAGCCCAACACATCAAATTTTAAATTATTCCCCTTTTAGAAGGCAGTGGGGCAATTCTCCCTAACCCTTCTTCTCCCATGGGGACCCAAAGATCAAATGTGAACCAACATACTATGACATCAACTCTTGGCCCACACAACATTCAATGACACTTGGCCCACACCACATACTATGACAATGACACTTGGCCCACACCACATACTATGACAATGACACTTGGCCCACACCACATACTATGACAATGACACTTGGCCCACACCACATACTATGACAATGACACTTGGCCCACACCACATACTATGACAATGACACTTGGCCCACACCACATACTATGACATGAACTGGCCCACACCACATACTATGACAATGACACTTGGCCCACACATACTATGACAATGACACTTGGCCCACACCAATTGGCCCACACTACTATGACAATGACACTTGGCCCACACCACATACTATGACAATGACACTTGGCCCTATGACATCAACACACACATACTATGACAATGACACTTGGCCCACACACATACTATGACAATGACACTTGGCCAATACAAAATACTATGACATATGGACAACTCTTGGCTCACACAAAATACTATGACAATGGCCCACACTTGGCCACACAACATACTATGACAATGACACTTGGCCAATACAAATACTATGACATCAACTCTTGGCCACACAACATACTATGACAATGACACTTTGGCCCACACAACATACTATGACAATGACACTTGGCCCATACAAAATACTATGACATGACTCTTGGCTCACACAACATACTATGACCATCAACTCTTGGCCCACACAACATACTATGACAATGACACTTGGCCAATACAAAATACTATGACATCAACTCTTGGCCCACACCACATACTATGACAATGACACTTGGCCCACACAAACTCTTGGCTCACACAAACATACTATGACAATGACACTTGGCCAATACAAAATACTATGACATCAACTCTTGGCCCACACCACATACTATGACAATGACACTTGGTCCACACAACATACTATGACAATGACACTTGGCCAATACAAAATACTATGACATCAACTCTTGGCCCACACCACATACTATGACAATGACACTTGGCCACACAACATACTATGACAATGACACTTGGCCAATACAAAATACTATGACATCAACTCTTGGCTCACACAACATACTATACTACACTTGACAATGACACTTTGGCCCACACCACATACTATGACAATGACACTTGGCCAATACAAAATACTATGACATCACTCTTGGCTCACACAACATACTATGACAATGACACTTGGCCAAATACAAAATACTATGACATCACTCTTGGCTCACACACATACTATGACAATGACACTTGGCCAATACAACATACTATGACACAACATTGGCCTCCACACAACATATATGACAATGACACTTGGCTCACACAACATACTATACTATGACAATGACACTTATGACAATGACACTTGGCCAATACTACATACTATGACAATGACACTTGGCCAACACAAAATACTATGACATCAACACTTGGCTCCACACAATACATACTATGACAATGACACACTTGGCCAATACAACATACTATGACATCAACTCTTGGCTCACACAACATACTATGACAATGACTCTTGGCCCACACAACATACTATGACAATGACACTTGGCCAATACAACATACTATGACAATGACACTTGGCCCACACAACATACTATGACAATGACACTTGGCCCATACAAAATACTATGACATCAACTACTATGACAATGACACTTGGCCCACACACATGACAATGACACTTGGCCCACTATGACAATGACACTTGGCCAAAATACTATGACATCAACTCTGGCTCACACAACATACTATGACAATGACACTACTTGGCATCAACTCACACAAACATACTATGACAATGACACTTGGCTCACACAACATACTATGACAATGACACTTGGCCCACACAATGACATACTATGACAATGACACTTGGCCCACACCACATACTATGACAATGATCACTTGGCCACACAACATACTATGACAATGACACTTGGCCCACACCACATACTATGACAATGACACTTGGCTCACACCACATACTATGACAATGACACTTGGCCCACACCACATACTATGACAATGACACTTGGCCCACACCACATACTATGACAATGACACTTGGCCCACACCACATACTATGACAATGACACTTGGCCCACACCACATACTATGACAATGACACTTGGCCCACACCACATACTATGACAATGACACTTGGCTCACACAACATACTATGACAATGACACTTGGCCCACACCACATACTATGACAATGACACTTGGCCCACACCACATACTATGACAATGACACTTGGCCCACACAACATACTATGACAATGACACTTGGCCCACACCACATACTATGACAATGACACTTGGCCCACACCACATACTATGACAATGACACTTGGCCCACACCACATACTATGACAATGACACTTGGCCAATACAAAATACTATGACATCAACTCTTGGCTCACACAACATACTATGACAATGACACTTGGCTCACACAACATACTATGACAATGACACTTGGCCCACACCACATACTATGACAATGACACTTGGCCAATACAAAATACTATGACATCAACTCTTGGCTCACACAACATACTATGACAATGACACTTGGCCAATACAAAATACTATGACATCAACTCTTGGCTCACACAACATACTATGACAATGACACTTGGCCAATACAAAATACTATGACATCAACTCTTGGCCCACACCACATACTATGACAATGACACTTGGCCAATACAAAATACTATGACATCAACTCTTGGCTCACACAACATACTATGACAATGACACTTGGCCAATACAAAATACTATGACATCAACTCTTGGCTCACACAACATACTATGACAATGACACTTGGCCCACACAACATACTATGACAATGACACTTGGCCAATACAAAATACTATGACATCAACTCTTGGCTCACACAACATACTATGACAATGACACTTGGTCAATACAAAATACATATATGACATCAACTCTTGGCCTCACACAACATACTATGACAATGACACTTGGCCAATACAAAATACTATGACATCAACTCTTGGCTCACACAACATACTATGACAATGACACTTGGCCAATACAAAATACTATGACATCAACTCTTGGCTCACACAACATACTATGACAATGACACTTGGCCAATACAAAATACTATGACATCAACTCTTGGCTCACACAACATACTATGACAATGACACTTGGCCAATACAAAATACTATGACATCAACTCTTGGCTCACACAACATACTATGACAATGACACTTGGCCAATACAAAATACTATGACATCAACTCTTGGCTCACACAACATACTATGACAATGACACTTGGCCAATACAAAATACTATGACATCAACTCTTGGCTCACACAACATACTATGACAATGACACTTGGCCAATACAAAATACTATGACATCAACTCTTGGCTCACACAACATACTATGACAATGACACTTGGCCAATACAAAATACTATGACATCAACTCTTGGCTCACACAACATACTATGACAATGACACTTGGTCCACACAACATACTGTAACATCAAATCTTGGTCTGCACAACATACTATGACATCAACTCTTGGCTCACACAACATACTATGACAATGACACTTGGCCCACACAAACATACTATGACAATGACACTTGGCCCACACAAACATACTATGACATCAACTCTTGGCTCACACAAACATACTATAACATCAACTCTTGGTTCACCTAAAATGCTATCAAGACTTGGTTCACCTAGAATGCTATCAGATGCTTGGTTCACCTAAAATTATATCAGACTCTCGGTTCACCTAAAATGATATCAGACACTTGGTTCACTTACAATGCTATCAGACTCTTGGTTCACCTAGAATGCTATCAGACTCTTGGTTCACCTAGAATGCTATCAGACTCCTGGTTCACCTAGAATGATATCAGACTCTTGGTTCACCTAGAATGATATCAGACTATGGTTCACCTAAAATTAAATCAGACTCTTGGTTCACCTAGAATGATATCAGACTCTTGGTTCATCTAAAATGTTATCAGACTCTCGGTTCACCTAAAATGATATCAGACTCTTGGTTCACCTAAAATGATATTAGACTCTTGGTTCACCTAAAATTATATCTCTTGGTTCACCTAAAATGATAACAGACTCTTGGTTCACCTAAAATGATATCAGACTCTTGGTTCACCTAAAATGATATCAGACGCTTGGTTCACCTAAAATTATATCTCTTGGTTCACCTAAAATGATATCAGACTCTTGGTCAACCCAAAATGCTATCAGACACTCAATGGTGCCCCAGAACTCACACAGGGAATATCAAAGAAATATTTCCCTCTTACCTGTCTCCTCAAATTCAGGTAAGTCTCATAAGGGTTTGGCGGCTTCTCCAGAGGCTGGCTGATCTTGGCTGACGGTGTGGTTGTTGTGGATGCCTGTGTGGTGTGTGGTTCCGTCTTGTTTCTCAACTTCCTCTTCCTTGGAGGAAAACTAGAATCATCCGCTGTGCAATCGTCGCCTTTTTGAGACCTGGTGGTGCTGGAGTTATCACACTCCTCCTTGACATCTGGACCACCTGTACAAAATCAGCACAAAGAAAACTAAGTATTTCAAGTAACAGCAGTGCAGGAGGTCAAACATGAACACCAGAGTATGTCACCATGGCATACACAGCACAAAGGATGGAAAAACAATAAAAGAGGATAGTTAGTCGTTACCGTTCCGGCATTACATCAAACAAGCTTGGCCCATAATTGCTCAACCGCCTATGCCAGTGATTCCAGTCACAAAGTGAGTCAGATACGCTGGATACCTCAAGTGAATGCCGTAACCATACAAAGTGTCCTCAGCAAAATACACATGATTTGATCTAGCAAACCATAAGGTGCATGCCTTCTTAAACACACTGCGAGACCAGGTGTCAGGGCTAAAAATCAACTTCATTTGACGAATAGCTGGGCGATGAGCAGATTAAAACTATTCCTGACCATTCTCCACATGTCCTCGGCCACGGCCAGCAAATAAATAGCAGCTATAGCACACGCCTTGTCCCAGGAACACAAGAAAGAAAAATACATCACACATCTTTGCCATTATGTATGAATTTGGAACTCAATAACCGATAATCGCAGCTCATAGTGCCACCAGGAACACTAAACTCAGTAGCTCCAGCTGCAAAATGGACTTCTACAATCTTGCAACATCGAAACTGGAGGAGAAATGGAGACGAGAATGGTAAAAATAAGCCAAGTTCTCAACCGTCATCCATTCCCTATCAAAGTCCGAACAGGAAGTCAATATATATAAACAGAGGATAGGGGTGCCTACCAAGAAACTCTGTCAAGCATGACCACGGAGCTAAACCGCTGTTTCCAGAGCACCAGCATGGAAAGCTGAACAAGTTGTCACACATGCAGCAATCATTTCAGATTCCTTCCCGTGTGGGTTCCGGGGCCTGTTAAGGGGAAAACAAGAATAGACCCACTGCCTAGCAAGGAGCCAACAGTCTGCACAGGAATGAGTCAGATGTGTCAAGCAGATGCACACACAACACCCAGGTTCTGAAACAGGCCTGCAGTCCAGAAGTGCACGAACAACCAGAACTTTCCGCCGGAGTCTACAGCTGGTGAACGTGAAGAAGAAAAAGAAATAAGATTCCACGGACATGCTTCAGAAAATCACAACAGACAGAATGCGCTCCAAATGTTTAGAAAGTCTTTGCGAGTCAAACTTTAAGATCCCTGATCTGGATCTACAGACCTGAATATGCCAATGTGAAAGGCAATGAAAGAGTGGACCATCTGGCCGGCACTGTACCAACTCATGTGGGAAGAAGCATGGACTGAGCAGATGTCAAGGATGGACTAGGTTAGTAAACAATGATGAATCTCTGACATTAACACAATTGCATGACATCGGAGTAAAGCGCTCTTTTGCCGTCTTTAAGGCCTAGATAGGAGACATGTTAAAACCAGCTCCTAATGGGAACAATCAGTGGAGGTACCCTGGAGTGGCTGCTGCATGAGAGGACTGAGCACACTTGAGTATGCCTAAAGTGCAGTGATGTTGATTGTGATAACATAAAACACCACCGGTTCCCTGGTACCTGCTACAGTCTGAATGTGCAGTCCACAAAGCTAACCATACTGGCCACTGATGCACTCATGTCTCATAAGGGTTCGGCGGCTTCTCCACAGGCTGGCTGATCTTGGCTGACGGCGTGGTTGTTGCGGATGCCTGCGTGGTGTGTGGTTCTGTCTTGTTCCTCAACTTCCTCTTCCTTGCAGGAAAACTAGAATCATCCGCTGTTCAGTCATCACCCTTCTGAGACCTGGTGGTGCTACAGCTGAGTCGAGTTGATTCAACAACTGACATAACAGCACTCGGGGCATTCCCATAAGCGCTGCATCCCATCTTCAGAAGCCAGTGCAGAGTTCCAGTACTAAAGGTGCCAGTAGCATTCTGAATAAACTGTCTTTCCTTTCCTCTGAGCCTCGAGCATCTGCCAGAACCCCTTGTCACTCCCCGCTGCATCAATTACATCAGACCGTGGTGATCCATCTGCCGAAGTTTTCACACGCCTCCTTGACAACTAGACCACCTGTATAGAATCAAATGCATTCCAAATGAAATACAGAGCTCAGGGTGGCACCGTGCATTTAACCCCCTAGTAGGGCGGCGGAACTATATCCTTTCAGTCCACATATGGAGGCAAATGCAATTACTAACTACTGTTAGAAGCAAAAATATGGCACAGTTAAAAACAGTCAGTAAGTCTATCCACCTTACTGACCAGAAGTAAGATTGAAGCATTTGTTTTTAATACAATAAACCATTTAGGAATTCTTGAAGCCATTGAAGCAGAAAGTAACACACAAAATCATTTCCTGAGGCCACAGAAACAGACAAGACAAGAGGACACACTAGACAACATTAAAAAACGTTTTTCATCCCAACATCTGGGTAAAGATTTGACATCACGGCCTTCAGGACAAGCTCATATTAGCCCTATCTCCCTACTCAACAAACAACAAAGAGTGTATATTGACGATGGTACTCAGAGTCATCTGGTTAACTACCCATCTTGCCTTTCTCCTTGAGTCTCCAGTGGCCCACAGGCACTCCCTAACATATGTTGCCTTTTTATGGTTTTACTAGGAAATTCAAAATCAGCAGTTATATTCTAAGCCTCCTGAGGCTCACACCATTGCAGGGGGACTTCCAGCCAAAATGGAAGAGCACCGGCTGAAAAGCTATTTGTTGCCAGCTAGGTTTCGATGATGCAAATTCACAATTTCTGGACTGGGAGTCCAAAAGTTTCTGCTCAACTTGCTTGGTGCGACACTGAGCTGTGGATTTCATGTGGGACATCTACTGTTGTGCCCGAGGTGTGTTGTTGACTGTACTTAAAATGGTGGGAGGCCGATTACCTTCACAGCATTGGTTCACTTCCCCTTAGAAGCAGAGTTTTATCAATGATCTGGGCTATGAGGCCAAGGCACAAACTAAGAACGAAGGGCACCTGGTGTGATAACGACCACAACATTCACACAGTGCCAATTCTACTGAAAAATTAGGGCAGAAAACCATATGCCCAACATTCCTACAGGTAGGGAAAGAGAATCTTTACCCCACCTGCACTCTGGGACTCTGTTGGGGGTGGGGGGAGAGAAAGAACAGACCTACAGCCCCCTTCCCTTTCATAAAAAGCGACTGATTAGGGGCATTTCCTTCAAATTCAGAGTGCACCTGCCTGAGAGGTAAGAAAGTAACAGTCTGCATATAAATAAGCCAAATCTGTGAAATGTATGTGCATGCAAAACCCAAAATCTGCAGCAAGACTAAAGTCCAGAAATGAATAAACAATCAGAACTTTCTATAGAAGTTTACATTCGGTGAACCTTAAGAAGAAGAATCTTTATTCAACAAATATGTTATCCACCTTCCCAGACTTGTAAGTTACAATGATCAATGTTTACAGTAGCTTATCTACTGGCAGGAATAAAGAGAGACGGAACCATAGAAGCCATATGCTCCACCCACATGCCAGGCTTCTATGGTTCCCCCTCACTCTATTTGTGTGAATGATATGTAACACAATGGAATCTACCAATCAAATCTCTTTCTTAAACGTTTGTGTATTCCAGACAAAGCATTAAGGTCTACTGTGTTCGTAAATTGTTGCTGTGTTTGTTATTTGACCTTTGCTTCGTTAATATAAATTTCTCTAACCTTTGGCACCACTTAAATGGTTTGGGATGAATTCTGTCTGGTTTCCATAGTTGGGGATTTCAAGCTGTAGGGCAGAAATGTCCAATGATGACACCTTTTTGGGGGTGTCTGGTTGGTTGTGTTTTGGTACGCTTGTTTCGATAGCGAGGCGCACACGCCATTTGGAGGTGACAGGTTTGATTCCCGGCACAGTAACTATAGCTTTAGATTTTTATGTGGTCTAGTGTGTCCTTCTATCATTCTACTTCTTTCTATGAATGCTAATCAATACAATGTCTCTTTCTTAATTATATTTACAGCTACTGGCAGGGTTCCTTGGTAGACAGGTCAAAAAGTTGCAGTTAAACAAAGAGGGACATAACCCTGCTACCTCATGAGTAAGTATACTGCAACATAGCTAACTACAATATAAAGGTATGTGCAAGCGGGACATGAATGATACAGGTACTGAAGTGGATTCACGGAAAGGGGGGGGGGGGGGGGGGGGAAGCCATGGATGGTGTTGTGCAGATAAGACAAATCAGGATTGAATGAGAATGAAGGAAGTTAACAGAGGGAAAGGAAGATCTACACAAATATAATCAAATACTGCGACCAGTCTTGATCAACGACAGGAATTTGCTGAGAGACTATGCTCTAGTGGGGATAAAAGTGGTTTGGGGGGGGGGGGGGGGTGTAAAGGGCAGAGAGAGAAGAAATATAAATAACTGCAGTGCAGCAAATATAAAAAAAGTCTTCTTCTTTCCTTGTCTCACTAATACCAGGTTGCATCTCAGTGTCGTGGTTTTGTTGTCTCACTGATACCAGGTTGTAGCCTGTGTCCTGGTCTTATCCTCTCACTGATACCAGGTTGTAGCCTAATTTACTGGTTTTGTCGTCTCAATGATACCAGGTTGTAGCCTAGTTTACTGGTTTTGTCGTCTCAATGATACCAGGTTGTAGCCCAATGTGCTGGTTTTGTCGTCTCACTGATACCAGGTTGTAGTCCAGTGTCCTGCTTGTGTCGTCTCAATGATACCAGGTTGTAGCCCAGTATTTGTTTTGCACTTCTTGTGTGGCATCAGTGATGGATTTGTTTAACTTTTTGCAGGCTTCTACCACACCATTTATCCATATCTGTCTTGGTCTTCCTCTTACCTTTCTCCCAGATGTTCTGCTGTAAAAAGTATCATATGCAGTTTGGTCTGCCTGCATTCTCACTAGATGGTTGAACCATTTTATTCTTTGTCAATATAATCTTGTCATGGTCTTATTCCGACTTTCTCTCTCATGCTGGTATTCGTAACCCTGTCTCTTTCTGTGTTGTTAGTGACCTTGCAGCAACAGCATATTTCACATGCAATT